GTTGATTTATTTTAATACAATAATGCCAATGATGCAGTTACTCAACATTTTATGCTGCCTTTGTGTCTTTATGGTTTAGAATTAGCACACAATTCAAACTTCAAATCAATTAACAGCATATCTTTTAAGTGGAGCTTGTTTTGGCTTGTATGCTATTGCTAATTAATTGAATTCTTTGTCCCTTAAATTTTCTTGATGCTTCTGTTCACATAATAATGAATGAGTTTTACATGAAGTTTTTTTTCCCCCCAATAAACATGTAAACTTATGAGCTTAGGGTTAAATAGTGAATTGGTTGACAAGTTTATGAACTTGAATACAAAGACTTTAAAACAGACTTCTGTAGATAATTTCTGGAGGACAAGTTGTCATTTTTAGCAAGAAGTCAGATATTTCCCCTTTCAGTTCTCCCCAGCACATACGTATAAATTGTCTAAATCCCTACTTAGGCTACCGATAACTCAACAGAGTACATTTTCCTTTTGAAATTCAGGAGTTAACAGACATGATAAGAGCAGTCAGGTCACTACTGCAGGTATAGTTTAGTGACACTCTGATGTGCCTAATGACAACATACTGAATGCAATGTAATGCCTCTCAACTTTTCAATGAAACATGTTGATTCATTTTTTATAAAAACTGCAGTAAAACTCCAGACTTGGGTCTAATATCACTACTTCATTCTATTCACTTGATTAAGGTGGGGACTAGAGAGAGGCAAGTGACTTTGCCAGGGCACAGCGTTAAGGAGGCATTCACCTTCACATCGCATGAAGTGCCAAACATGCACTTACTCAACTGCAGTGCTAGACAATATATAAACAAATAACCGTGTCTGTAAAACAAGTCACACTAGACCTAAATAAATTAAAATTGCACAATCTATGCTCTCCATTCCTAATGGAATTAAATCAGATGTTAATAGGACATTTTTGAGAAACCTTCAAAGATTTGGAAATTAAACCAATTTCTAAAATAGCCTGAGTTAAAGAAGAGATTACAACTGAATACATATATACAAAACATATCAAGATTTATGCAATGTAGCTAAATCAATGCTTAGAAGTAAGTTTAATTTGTAGTTCTACATTCCTACATTAAAAAATGAAAAATTTCTCGAATCAATATCCTACGTTTTTATCTTAAATGACTAGAAAAAGAAGAGCAAACTGAACCCCAAGGAAAGGAAATGGTGAGATTAGAGCAAAAATCATTAAAACTGAGGAGAAAATTTGATGAAACAAGATCTTGTATTTGAGAAAAATAAAATTTACATATCTTTATGATACCGAATTTTTGGACTGGAACCCGGATTCTTTGTTGGCTGTAATCGAAGAATGAGTCCATGGACAGAAAGTGGTATAGCAAAGATAGAGATTTATTGAAGAACAAGTATAGACTCACGCATGGGGAGAGAGAAAGAGTCCCACAGAACTGATTCTATGGGAAAAGGGTCCCAAGGAGTTCCTTTTCCCTATGCTTTATAAAGACTGCAGAGCCTGGTGCCTGATAGCCCCTCTGATGGGTCAATATTCCCCTTCGACATGTGAGGTTCTCCCTCCTCCTTCCCTCTGGGCTTTCTTCTTTTCCATCATCTGAATGAGCTTCCTTCCCTTTATTTTGTAAATATAGACCTTTCCTGGCTACTTCCAGTTCCCTTGTCTTATGTAAATGCAACTGTTGCTGCTCCCTTGTTTTATGGAGATGTAACTGCACCTGGCTTCCTTATGTTATGGAAACGTTCCTTCTCCCAGGCTGCAGCCCTGCGCTTTTCCATGGACCCCAATTCTAAGAAATTCCTAATCCTGCCTATGTTCCCCCTAAAATTCCTGCTTCATTTAGTTGGACTGACCAAGAAAAAAACAAAGGAAGACACAAATTAACAAAGCCAGGATTTAAAGTGAGAACATCATTAATGACCATTCATAAGTGAAAAGGATTATATGGAAAAAACGATAAAAACAATATGCCAAAAAATTAGACCACTTAAGTGAACTAGACAAATTCTTAGAAAGGTTCAAGGTACTAAACTGTCTCAAGAAGAAATAGAAAATCTATACAGACCTACCAAATATTTAAAAAATTAGTATAAATCTCTATAAACTTCATAAAAATATAGAAGATGACACATTTTATGAAGCCACTATATCCTAATACCAAAACCAAGCAAAGATACAAGATAAGAAAACTAAAACACAATATCACTTAGGAATAAACATTTTAAAACTTCAAAATATGAGCTCAGCAAATTAAATAACATGTAAAATATTTTTGTACTCTGACAAAGTGGGATTTTTTTTGCAAGAATGCAAGATTGCTTTAATATCTGAAAATTAATTAATATAATAGACCATATTATTAGCATGAAGGACAAAATCAAATAATCTTTCTAGATGCAGAAAAAAAACTTTTGACAAAATCCAACACACATCCTATATAATCCTATATAATCAAAAGCTAATATGCTAATTAGACCAAACAGCAGACCAACCTAGGGCATCCTTCCGGATCTTCCCAATGAAGCCGGGGCTGCAAGGGCTGGCAAAGGCTGTGAGGGCCGAGCCCCTTACACGAATTTTGTGCATCCGGCTTCTAGTTTATTATAAAGCTCTATATCGATTATAAAGAGAACAAAACTGTCTCATTCTGATCAAAAGCATCTCTGGCAATTGTCCTGTTAACATCACACAAGTGATGTTGGGCTGGAAGATTTGCCCTTAAGAATGAGAACAGGACTTTGATAGCCACTTTTACTAAGTCTAGTCAACATTATTCAGAATGTTCCAGACTGTTTGCTAGGGGGGAATAAAAGATACAAGAAAATACTGACTGAAGAAGGGGAAGTAAAACAAGTCTTTATTAACAAGTGCCATAATCTCATATGTAGAAAATCCTAAGGAATCCAAAAAAAAAAAGAACTTTGGAGTAATGAGTTTATAAAACCTGCATGATACAAGATAATATACAAAAGGTAATTGTATTTCTATATCTGAGCAACAAAATTTCAAAAGTAAAGAAAATAATTTCCCTTACAATAGTATCAAATTGACAAAATGCTTAGGTATCAGTTTAATTCATTAAATGCAAAACTTTAACTGACAACTACAAAATATTACTGAGGGACATGAAAAAAATATCAAACAAATGGGGAGATATTGCATATTCATTGATTAAAACTTCATACTATTAACATGGTAATTCTTCCTAATTTTATTTATTGATTCATTGAAATCCCTATTGATATTCCTGCTGGCTTTTGTATAGAAATTCACAATGGAACTGCAAAGAAAAAAGGAAAATAGTTAGATGGCTTCCCAACCTAAAATGTAATAACAAGTTCCATTTATCCAGACAATGTATTATTGCATATGGATAGGTTGGTCAGTTGATTTTCACAATAGTGAAAGAGGAAATTAAATGGATGAAAAAGTATTTTCAAAACATTTTGTTGTACAATTTATACCAATATGTAAAGAAATTTATATATATAATTTCAAACATTCACATATATGTGCATAGGAAATAACATATCCTTATCTCATACTATACCAAATTAACTCAAACACATCAGAGATATAAATAAGAGCTTAAATGATAAAATTTCTAATAAAATATAAAAGAAAATCTTTATGACCATTGTTCGTCAAAGCTTTGATATACACCAAAAGCATGATAAAGCTAAGTGAAAAAAAATGTTACAAAGTGAACTTAATAAAATGAAGTCCATTGGTAATTTGGAATTAAATGAAAACTTTCTATCCAAAAGTCACCAACTGAGAAAATGACTAGAAAAACCAAGGCAAAGCACGGCAAGGAGAAAATATTTTCAGGTCACATAAATCATATGGAATTATATTCAGATTATACAAGGAATACTCACTACTTAATACTAAATAACTACATAAAAAGACAAACAACACAATTTAAAATAGTGTAACATTTGAACAGACATTTTATTAAAGAAGATGTACAAATGTATCATGAACATATGAGAAGATACTCAGAATTGTTAGTCTTATTGAAATGCATATTGAAACCACAAGGAAGTACTATTTCACACCCACTAGAATTATTATAAAAAAGGAGATAGACAATATCAAATGTTAGCAAAAATGTAGAGAAACAGGATACTGTTTGCATTGCTGGTATGAATTTAAAATGGCACAGTCACTTTGCAAAATAATCTGGTAATTTCTTAAAAAGTGATGCAAAAATTTACCATACACCTCAGCAATTCTAGCACTAGGAATCTGTCCAAGAGATATAAAATATATATCTACACAAATATGTGTGTGTGAATTCATTACTTATAAAAGTTAGCTGATAAAAAGTAAATCTTAAAGTTCTCATCACAAGAAAAAATTATGCATGATAATGAATATTAACTGAACTTATGCTCATTTCTCAATATTTACATCATTAAGTTGTACACCTGAAACTCATATAATATTAAATGTCAGTTATATCTCAATAAAAAGTACAAAGTGAAAACAAGCCAAATCTTCATTAACTGATGAATGGATGAGCAAAATGTTGAATACATTGTGAATTCCCTTTGGCAGTAAAACCAACAAAGTACTGATACATGATACAACATGAAAAATCCTCAAATTTTTTTATGATAAGCAAAAGAAGCCAATCACAAAAAACAACATATTGTACGATTCTGTTTATGTAATGCCCAGAAAATGCAAATCTATAGAGACAGTATGATTAATGGTGCCTAGGACTGGAGTTGGGAACCAAGAATCATCATAAATGAGCTCATCTTTGGGTCATGAAAATGTGCTAAAACTGGATAGTGCTGATGGTTGAAGAGCTCAATACATTTGCAAAAGTTATTGAATTATTTATTTGAAATTGATTAATCCTATGATATATAAATTATACCATTAAAATGTTGGTAAAGAAAAGGTTCCATGAACTCTAGAGACTTTTTATATCATAAGTTTTGCTATATATCTATGTTCATATTTTATTTTTGTGTGTGATCTTTTAAGGTCCATTCTGTGAAGAGTCAATGGGGCGTTGTGTTTCTTGGTCTTGTTGGAAAAGGGGAATTTGCCAAAATGAAAGCTCTGCTTACATTTGTGAATGTGCAGAAGGATTTCTCAATCAAGACTGTGAAATTGATGACAAGAAGTGTTCATTAATACCATGTCATAAGGGTAATGGCTGCAATGATATTTCAAATGTAAGTCTGAATCTAACATATAAGAGAGTGGTTTTAAAACATTTTGACAGTTACCAAACTATTTCAAAAGTACAAAATTTATAGTTTTCATTATTATAAATTTTCAAGCTCAAAATATCTATGTTTCTTATTTAAATTTCCTATTTTAAATGGAAACCCCAATTCCAAAGCACTATTTAGTTTCATTTTCGCTCTTGCATCAAAATTATCCCCTATAAACAATGCAATTTTGTAAACTTTTCAATTTTAATTTATTGGTTTTTAAATTTTTAAAATTATTTGCTTATTTGATATTTTTAAATTATAACTTTTAATTTTAACATTTAAATAAATAATACTAAAAATAATAGTTCACACAAATCACTCTTATTTTAGTAATATTTTTATTTGAATTCATATTTAAATCTTAAAGGTTTCTTTACTCACATGTGTGGTAGTTATGCGGGCTGTCAACTGGTACCTAAGCTGGAGCCATCAGCAGAACCTTATCTAACTACCCTGCATGGCTTGGGGACTAGGTACCAAAATAATTAGATTGACACCATATGGCTTTTAAATTTGTCTTTGAAAGCCCCAGAGCATCACTTTTTGTATAGTCAGAAATTTCTTACATTCAAGTGGGAGAAATAAAGTCCCCAACTCTCAATTAGAGGAGTGTTGAATTCACATAGTTAGGAAGTATGTGAATTGTTTTGACATTTTGGAAAGTGAAATCCTTCACATTGTTGTAAAGAAAACTTCGACTACATGCTTATGAGAATAATGCCCATCATTTCATCATCTTTGAAGTATCTCAAAACTTTAATAAAAATACTGTTTAATGTTTCCAAGGTTACCATATGCATCTGTGCACCAATATTGACAGGCAAGCTTTGTAAGAGACTTCAAACATCATGTGATTCATTTCCTTGCAAGAATAATGCAACATATATAAACTGTGAGAAAGATTATCATTGCAGGTATAATTCATTTGTTATTTTATTAAATAAAAACATATGAATTTTAAATACATGTTCTGTTTTAAACCTAAATTTTATTTAATAACATAATAGATTTAAAGTTAAAGTAGAAACTTTTTAATGTAATTTTATGTTGTTTAGTTATTGATTTTGAATAAATATTTAAGAAATTCTGACATATAATTTGGCATACAGTTGTAAAACATATATTTTGTTTCATAAGGATGATTTTTAGGATAAAAATAATATTTGAAGGTCTAGAAAAAGAGATTAATGTAAGTACCTTTAGTATTATTTATATTATATACATACAATGTTAATATTATATTTTGAAAGTATAGAGCAAGCATCTCTTCCTTCAATTCACAGACCTCAGCTAACAAATTTAAGTTAGGGTCTTTAGGCAAACTTTTTAGGAAGCAGTGCTTTAGTTAAATAAGAATTGCTAAAAGAAAATTACCCATTTGTAAAAGATAGAAGTGACCTAGTTATCTGGGTCTATAATTTTAGTCCATCATAAATAGCTTTATAGATACTTCCTCACAACATTAAGAAGTATAATTTGTACTCTCCACTCTTGCTTGGGTTTTATGTGACTGCTTAAAGTAAGTTCTGTTAGGCATTACTGAAAGGCAATAAATAGGCTCAAGTTTTAGAATATTCATAAAAGCAGAAAATTAAAATATCTGGTACAGGAAAGACTTAAAACACACTGGAAAAAAGTAACTTAGAACATGTATACATATCACAGTTGTACAATGGATAGTATTTCCATCAACTTTAAAGGAATCGAAACATAAGGTTTGCCCTAGCCGGTTTGGCTCAGTGGATAGAGCATTGGCCTGCAGACTGAAGTGTCCCAGGTTCAATTCTGGTCAAGGGCACATGCCTGAGTTGCAGGCTTGATCCCCAGTAGGGGGCGTGCAGGAGGCAGCCGATCAATAATTCTCTCTCATCATTGATGTTTCTATCTCTTCTCCCTCTCCTTTCTTCTCTGAAATCAATAAAAATATATTTAAAAAAAATAAAAAATAAACATAAGGTTTAAAAACATTACGTTTTTAAAATGTGACATTTTCAAAAGAGAATGAAACTTGATGATCATTCCAAGATATTGAAAGTTCTAACCCATCCAGTCAAATTTGTATATACTTTCAATCTTAAGTCAATTTACCAATAAACCCAATTATTATCTTTAGAAAAATATTGACTTTTAATTTATAATTTCTAGTTCTTATAGTACTTGTATATATTATTTTACTTTGAAAAGTGGTCAACTTTTAAAAATATCTAAGAATTATATAAATATGAGTAAATATGCATTTATTTATAATATTTATTTTTAATTAAATATGATGCATTTATTGGCCCTTATTAATAGCAATATTCTGGCTGTTTAAAAGACTTTTCTTTCTTTCTTTTTTATTTTTTAGAAGGATTTTCTTTTAAATTTCATCATCTAGGGGAAAAATGGATAACCAAAAACAAGATATTGGATAATGAAATATATAAAAAGTGGAGGCCTGGTGCATGAAATTTGTGCACAGTAGGGTCCCTAGGCCTGGCAGGGGATCAGGGCCATTCTGTGGGGTGACCAGAGGGACGAACAGGGGGCCCCTGCTGGCACCCTCCTTGGCCAGCCTGGTGCTGCCTGCTGGCCAGCCCTGCTCCCTGCCACTGCCGCCAGTCACCTTCCTCTGTGGGTCAACCAGCGGGGTGATCAGGGGGCCCCTGCTGGCACTCTCCTTGGCTGGTCTGGAGCCTCTGGGCTGGGGGAAGCTCCTGCGTTCCACCAGTCGTTCTGCTGTTTGGTTGATTTGTATATATAGAAGGCTTTTATTACATAGGATTATGTCTACTAGTAAAATCAGAAATTTCGTGATACACAGGTTTTGCTTCTAAATCTTTTATTTTCTCCACTCAGATTCTAACATATTTCATGGTAAAATAATGTTTTATTTTACTCTCAGCTTGTTTTTTTCTCACATGTTTCTTAGTCACTGAATAGCAATTATAGTTGGCCCTACTCCAGTATCAATTCAATGCATTAACATATTTTATTTTTCTAAAGTCAGTTTCCACATTTCATTAGTACGTGTAATGTCTCACTATATCAGCCATGGGTAGAGTTAAGGTTTTCAATTTCTGTCACAAGTAAACCTAATTAAGCATGCACTGTGATTTTGAAAGAGAACAGTGTACAACAGAATTTACATAGGTCAACATATTTCTTTTCAACATATAATGCAGTTGCATTTTCACATTAACTTTGAAAAATGCTTTTAAAAATAGGAGTCACACATTTAAGTGAAGAATTTGTTAATTAATGAAAGGTGTCTACTTGGTCACTCAATAATTTTCAACTAACAGGACACCTCAATTTCTTTGAGTTACTTATCTCAAAAGCTGAGCGGCTATATTTTTCTTTCCTTGAAATTCAAAGCCCTATTTATAAGGGTAACTTTCACTTTTGAATAAATTATTCTAAAATTTAACAAACCAAAATGTTGTTAAATTTTAAATATAGTTTTATAATTTCATATTTTGGTTGTAAAATATATACTATTGAAAATATATTTCCTCATCAAGACTATTTTCTGCTATTCATATCATTTTATATTTTTCTGGGACTATTACAGGTGACAGAAGTCATTCTCAGATCTGGTCCCCTAAGGGCCTCATTTTGAGAACATATGCTCACATTAGTACAACTTTTCTCCCATTAGTCCTGAACCTATTAATTTTCATTTAAGTAATCTTATATAATAAAAGCCTAATATGCAAATTGACCAAATGGCAGAACGATCAGTCACTGTGATGTGCACTAACCACCAGGTGGCAGACACTCAATACAGGTGCTGCCCCCTGGTCGTCAGTGATCTCCCAAAGGGGGGTCGCCACTCAGCCAGAAGCCAGGCTAATGGCTGGCAAGCACAGCGGTGGTGGCGGGAGCCTCTCCCACCCCCGCAGCAGTGCTAAGGAGCAGTGAGCAGGTGGGCGGTAAGGAGCCAGGATTCCCGGACTGCAAGAGGGTGCAGGCTGGGCTGAGGGACACTCCCCCACCCAGTGCATAAATTTCATGCACCGGACCTCTAGTAAATAATAAAACATTATGACAGAGTTAGTACAGACCTACATACATTAAAGGTTGAATTAATATCATGCATTCTCTAAGTGTTCTAGGGCATAGCTGATCAAATTCTCTGTAAAATTTCTAACATTTCTTAATATCCAGTACTCTTCCACTGTGCCTTTAGGAACATTTTGTCAGCAGCCAATTCTCTAATACCACAATTTCTTTTGTATACCTTCCTTTGTCTCCATAACCTGTGTACAACTGGTGAGAAAGTTTTGCCCTTCTTACCATATCCCGACCATTTTTCTTCCGCCTCCTGTTCTTGAAGGAGAAGTCTATTCATTTTTAGCAAATGACATCAGCTATATCATTCTCTCTCTAACTCTGTTTCTTCCTTCCAATGCTCCTTTTCAAAGTATCTCCTCTTTTCTCAATTCCTGTCCCCCCACCCCAATAAAGGTTTTAGCATCTGTCCTTTTCTCTGCCATTATTGTCATCTTCCTAATGATTTCTATATCAATTTTGGAAATTCACCCATCGTGGTTGTGTAAATTATTTGACAATTATTTTACAATTAGTTTTTCCTCCTCCTCCTGTTCTTGGCCCATTTCTCATGGTGATATCTTATAATTTATCAGAACCTCTAATTGCACATTCCCAACCTCTTGCTTTATATATTTTCACTCTCTAATCAACACTTCATGCATTTCAAGCTCACTCACTCATATACTCTATCCACAGAATTATATAATGTGTTTCTATAAACAACAGCACCTCTAATTATTTGACTGCACTTGCTCTCTTCTGTCCCTTAACCTAGGCAGGTCCTTTTTTTCCTTTATACAAAGCATACCTGTATATTCACTCTCAAACTCCTTATCTTTCTGTTTCTATGTTCTATTTACCTGCAAACACCAAACATGCTTAATATTGCATCCCACCAGGTAAGCCTGTGTATATTTTCATGCATACCCAATGTGGCATCTCAAACTTAACATATTCCAAATTAATGGTTAAATATTCAAAATTAATGGTTGACATACACCTGCTTTTCTGTCATTGTTCTTTAGATTTATCTGTTATTTTTTGTATCTCTCTGTCAATCTACTTCTTGTCCATCAGCAATCCTTCAAGTTCTCCCATACGTATATATCATGAATATAAACACTTTCATCATTATGAAGTTAACACTCTTTTCAAGCCACCAAAAATCTTCATTGGAACAGTTCAGTTATCCCCCATTTGACCTCGTTGCTTTGACTCTTCATGCAAGTATATGTAGAGTAGTGAATGAAATTCAGCATCATTGAGAAAGCTAATATTTGGGTAGTGAGTTAAGTGACATGGTGGACCATGCAGCTTCCTAGGTCAGCGGTCGGTAAACTGAGGCCCCTTGAGTGTGGCTCTTCCACAAAATACCACGTGTGGGCGCGCACTTACAGTGCGATTGAAACTTCGTGGCCACACTGAAGGGGCCAAAGAGCCGCATGTGGCTCGTGAGCCGTGCTTTGCCGACCACGGATCTAGGGGAACAATGTCTATGGCAGAGGGAGCACCAAATGCAAAGCCCCCATCCTGTTGGGATCATACTAATGAGACTGGTCTGAAGAAAGCAACGGAAGAAGTGAGAACAGAGAAGAAACGAGATCAGGGCAGTTGCAGATCCTGCAGATACCATTTTAATGTCTTTGAGCTTCACTTTAAGTAAAATAGGAAGTACTGCAGGGTTTCTGGCAAGTGAGTGGATATTATCCTATATTTTAAGATGATGCTTTGGCTGTTGTGTTGAAAACTGTAGATGCACAGTCAATGTAAAGAGACCAGTTAGAAACTAATGTAGTCTAGACAGGAGAAGATAGAGATGGAACAAGATGGGAGAGAAGACATGGTAAAAAGTGGTTGAATTATGGATATAGTTTTAAGA